CCAGTCTGGGCGACAGAGTGAGACTCCAACTCAAAAAACAAAAAACAAAAAACAAAACAACAACAAAAAAACAAAACAATGTGAGCTGGGGCTGCGTCGCCCACGCCAGGCACAGGCCGGTCCAGGCGCAGCACAGCCCAGGGGCAGAGCTTGGGTCCGAGGAGGAAGCCTGGGGTGGGGTCCACGCCCCAGCCCCCTGGCCCTGCTCCCACTGCCATTATGGCACCTTTTACAAGCCCCGTTAAGTCTGTAATGAGGACGCTTGTTGTGCATCTGGCTTAGGCTTAATCCCAGCAATAGGCCTTTATTGGATAAATGGTTAATCAGTGTTCGTCTGCACGGATTGGGTCTTCCAGAAGCCCCAAGTGGCCTGCACCGTGGTCAGTGTGGCTTGGCTGGGCAGCGCTGCGTGGGGTCAGGGTCAGCGAGACCTGGCGCCCCGGAGTCAGGAAGGCCTGAGTTCCCAGGAGGGCCTTTCTTCTGCATCCAGGCCGGAGGGCACCTTTGTGTCATGTGGCCTGTCTCCTTTCAGGGCAGGTACATACAGCCCCAGGGTCTCTTCAGTCCCACCCGCCCAGGGCTATCCTCTCTTGTGCCCGGAACAGCCATATGACCTTGAGTGTGTCTCCCGACCCCTCTGGGTCTCAGTTTCCACATCTGGCACATGGAGAGGTAAAGAGAGCTGGCCTAGAGAGGCCTCGTGTCTGTGATTCTGTGAGCCTAGTGTCCCCCACAGAGGCTCTCGCGTGTGTCACTGAGGGCTGTGGATGGCGAAGGACCGACAGCCCTGTGGATTAAGTACTTAAGCTTCTGGGCAAAGAATTGGGTCAGCGGTGGTCACAGGGCAGTGTGGGCCAGGTGATCAGAGCAGGCTGGGCCCTTGATTCGGAGCCTGTGCTGGGGTTTCTGCCAGCTCTGGGCGGGACGCACTGTCGGCTTTACAAAACCAAGGCCTGTCCTTGGCGAAACCGTGGAAAGAGACGCTGACTGTGTCAGGTGTGGAGCTGGCTGGAAGCCAGCAGTCGCTCTCAGCTGAGAGAGACAGGGACTGGGGTCGTGCCCTCCAGACAGACTTGGCCTTGGCTTTGCAGCTGCAGAGTCGGACTGTCCACTTGAGCGGCAGGCTGGAGTTGGGGCTGGGGGTCAGGCGGGCCTGGGGTCAGGTGGGCCTGGGGTGACTCTCATGCCTCCTCTTGCTCGTGTCTGATTGTGGACAGCCGACTTCCTGAACCCGAGCCCATTCAGACAGCGTCAGCCATGCCTGCTTCTCAACTTGACCACATGGGCTTGAAATGACTGGAAGGGCCTCAGGGTCACGGACCCTGTGCTGTGCTTTGCACTGCTGCTGTCAAGAGCCTGCTGCAGAGAGAGGCAAGACTCACTGCGGATGACAAGATGGTGAACTATTTTATCTGCAAAGAGACTAAAGCAGAGAGTCCAAACCGAGCCCCACGGCCCCTCAGACTCAGTGCCGCTGCCCCAAAGCCTTTAGCTGCAGGACTGGAGCCGGAGTCTGCGCCCCCCTCCCCGCCAAACTTCTGGCTCCTGTGGGTCCACAACCTGGCACTCATGGTCCCCTGGGCGGTGGGGGCTCTGTGTGGGTGGGAGTGTGGGATGGAGATCCCCTGCCAGATGCGTCCCTGACCGGGCTCTGGTCTCGTTCCAGATCTTCCCAGACCCGTCGGACTTCGACCGCTGTGGCAAGCTGAAGGACCGCCTGCCGTCCATCGTGGTGGAGCCCACCGAGGGGGAGGTGGAGAGCGGGGAGCTGCGGTGGCCCCCCGAGGAGTTCCTGGTGCAGGAGGACGAGCAGGACGGCGAGGAGACGGCACAGGACGACAAGGAGTAGAGCCCACGGCCCTTGGCGCCTGCCTGGGCTCCTGCCCCTTGCGGAGGGCGGGGCGGGGGAGCCACACCGTGCCTGACGTGTGGCACCTGCGAATCACCGAGTTGGTTTTCTTTCCTTTTCCTGTCTTTTTTTGAAATTTGCCAGGCAGGAGCCTCCACAGTCTGCAAGGCCTTCTGAGAAAGGAAGCCACCGAGCTGCTGGGTGGCGGGGCAGGCTGCTTAGAGATCGTTATCTGGACTCCACAGCAGGCTGGTCCCTGTCCCCTGCAGGCTCTGGGGGCAGGGCACAGAGCCTGGGGGAGGGAAACTGGTCCCAGCAGAGAGAAGACACCTGTTTTTAAGAAGAGGCTGCAGCCAGTACGCGCCCTCAGGCCTGGCTGGGGCACAGGGGCTGTGTCTTCCCCCCGCCCCCCACCCCAGGCTTTCCCGGCCTTTGCTTCTCTTTCCCGAGAGCTGGGCCGTGGCAGGAGGAGAGGACCAGTGAGGGGCAGCGAGGGGCCTGCCGGGCAGCGAGGGGCCTGCAGGCCAGCTGAGGAAGGGAGAGGCCGCCGCCTTCCCGGGCCTCTGCTCTGGGGGACCGAGAAGATTCCAGGAGGCGGTGCTTTTGAGCGTTTCTCCCTGACGTGCCCATCTCGCTGCCCAGCACCTTGGGGAGTCCAGGACACTCCCTGCCCTTGTTGGAGGCTCGAGGCCACGTGGCACGAAGGTCCCTCCCTCCGCTGCTGCCCCCAGGTCTTGCTCCCAGGCTTGCCGTCCCTTCCCCTGCTGCCATCCTCCCCGCCCACCCCCAGCCCTGCTGTGGACTCCCAACTTTTCTGCAGGAGCTGAGAGCTTAGAGGCCCGCCTCTGTCTTGTGGGGAGGTTCTGGCAGGTCCCAGAAGTGGGCAAGCCTGGGTGCTTACGGGCATCCTTGGGGTCCAGTGTGAGATGAGGGTTGTCATGACATCACTTGCGTCCCCCGTGTTGTTCCCAGAGGTGGTGGAGGGGAGGTGGGGTGAGGGGGCTCTGCTGTCCCTCCTGGACAGGGGCCCTTTCCCTGCCCAGTCCGCCGGACTCCTGCAGTGACGCCAGTTGTTTGCGGAAGCCAGCTTTGGACTCAAGGCTCCTTAGCTCAGAGCCGGGCGGAGCTGCAGGCTATAGGCTTGATTCCCTACAGGCTGGCGGCCCCCGAGGGGTGCTTGGAGACTGCCTTGGGCTCGACTTGGCCCGCAGAGGCCCTCCCGGGTCCCCTCTAGCCTCCGGCCAGTCAGGTCGGGCCCCGGGTCTTAGACTTGTGTGAGTAGCTGTGTCTAATACCTCAAGGTCTGTGTGGCTCTGGGGACAAGGGCGCGCTGTGGACGTGGTAGGCTGCAGGAAGCCGACGCGGCCCCCCCCACCTCCTCCCTCTGTCGTCCGCCCGTGTGACACACACCATGGCAATAACTTCTTCCAGCTCCTCGCAGAGGCGGGAGAGGCCTGCAGCGGCGCCCAGAGGGTGTCTCCCGCTCCCCGCTTGGCTCTGTCCCCTGCCCGCGCCCCCTGTGTGGATGGGGGTCTTGCCTTTCTAGCCCTGTGTTTCCATGTCTCCCTCATCGCCACCCCGGATCATCTGTCCTGGTCTTGCCGTGTGCTGGGAACGTGCTTGTGGACGGTGTAAGAAGCCCACCGTGTCTGTGTCTGTGTCTGTGGGGTGGTTATGATTTTGCTGGTCACCAAACTGAGTGTGCGACTGTCTGCCGTCGAGCAGGCCAGGGCCGACAGCCAGCGCCAGGCCCCTCCCGAGACCCTGCTCTCGGACACCTGGCTGACCTCCTAACTGGCCTCCTCTTTTTTCTTTTTTTAAAGTAATTTGTGTGTATTTCTAACTGATCGTATTGAAAAAAGATTCTAGTATTTCAGTAAAAATGCCTGTTGTGAGATAAACCTCCTGTAACCTTCTATCTGTTATTTTTTGAGGCTCAGGGAGAAACTAGCATTTTTTTTTTCCAAACTACTTTTTGTCACTGTGACAGTTGTAAATAAAGTTTGAAAATGCTTTCCACTCTGGTCTGGTTTCCCTTTCTTCCCACGGGTGGCATGGAGCGGGCTGTGCTCAGATGTCCCGGGGTGATGGGCCCCCTCACAGGGGGCTGTGCTGGGGTGTCCCATGGGGGGGTCTTCTTGAAGTTCACCTACCAGCCTGCCATGAACTGTCGCGAGTGTCTGTCACGTAGCTGGATGCAGGCAGCTTTCTTTCCATCCGTGTCAGTGACTTTCGATTCCAGGTGCCCTTCAGAATCACCTGGGGACCTTTGAAAACAAGGACACCAGGGCCGACCCCCTAGGACTCGGATTTCAGGGATCTGGGGTGGGGGCCAAGCAGTCAAATGTTCTAGAATCACCTGGAGAGCCATCAACCTGCAACCAAGGTTTGAACTACCTTTCCAACGGAAGAGAACCCAAGATACATTGTAAGGTCACTCCCAAAAGCTGGGGGAGCACTTTGCCACGTACAGAGTCCAAGCATCATTCAAAGCATTTATTGAGCACCCACTGTTGGGCAGGCATCGGTATGAGGTGGGGGGAACAGTGGCTGTGGCCCTGCCTCAGTGCAAAGTTAAGCGACGGAGATGCCCAGTGCAAGGCAGGATGAAACCCGGGTGCTGTGAACATGAGCGTCGGGTAGGAGACTGGGAAGGATCTTGGAAGGGGGTTGAGGAGGAGTCAGCCAGGAGCCCAGGGACAGGGCATGGGGGCATGGACCTGGGAGGGCTCCCGGCAGGGAGAGCGGCTTGGTGTGGGCTTGTGCGGCTGGGTGAGGGAGCCAGGCAGGAGGGCTGCTCAGGTGGGTGAGGGCTGGGGTTTTACTCGAAGGCAGTGGTCCCCAGCTTTTCTGGCTTCAGGGACTGCTTTCATGGAAAACAATTCTTCCATGGACCAAGGTTGGGGAGATGGTTTGGGGATGATTCAAGCGCATAACATTTATTGTGCACTTTATTTCTATTATTGCATGGTAATATATAATGAAATAATTACACAACACACCACAAAATAAAAAAGAGGCAGGGATGGAAGTGGTCCATAAAATAATGGGCGGACCACAGGCGGACTAAAATAAGTGTCAGATTCTGACTTAAAACCTGTCATGAGTGCAGCTGTCCAACTGATGTCCATCAATGCCCTGGCCACTCACTGAGAGGGTTTTGAGATGAGTCTGCAGGCAATTGATTTGTGATGGTCTCTGCACGGTCAAACCTCACTGCTCACGTTCATCTGTATTTGCGGCCACTCCCCAGCACTGGCGTTCCCGCCTCAGCTCCATCTCAGGGCATCAGGCATTCGATTCTCATAAGGACTACGCAACTCAGGTCCCATGCATGTGCAGATCACAACAGGATTTATGCTCCTGTGGCATCTAATGCTGCCGCTGACCTGACGGGAAGTAGAGCTCAGGTGATCATGCAGGCGATGGGGAGTGGCTGTAAATACAGAGGACACTTTGCTGGTTTACCTGCCACTCACCTTCTGCAATGTGGCCTGATTCCTGATAGGTCATGGACTGCTACTGGTCCATGGCCCCGGGGGCTGGGGACCCCTGTTCTTAGAGCAGTGCTAGGGTGGTGTGATTTGCGTTTCCAGCAACCTGACTCCACACAGATGGGACTGGAGGGGCAAGAGGATACCAAAAAGGCTCCGTGGAGGTCAGAGCATGGGAAGACAGTGCTCTGTGGAAAGGACATGGGACATTTTCTGAAGCCAACCTGGGTACTTGTGCCTTCCTGCAGCCCTCATCAGGGCACCCAGCTGGAGAGTGTGATCTGTGCTGAGGATGTCCATCCTAACATCCACCCTAGTGAAATGGCTGGACCCATGGGTCTGCTGCCCCAAGGACACCTGGCAGGACCGGCTGTCCTTGTGTTGGGTCCTGCCTTTGACTCTCCACCGGCAGCCTGAGGGTGGAGATTATTCGAAGACAGCCTCCTGGAACAAAGTCCCACAGAAAACTGTCTTTCTTTGCAGATGTCATCACCAATGTAGAAAATCCTATGAAGTGTACACAGAAAGAGCTATTAGAGCTAACAAGTAAGTCTAGCATGCTTGCAAGATCCAAGCTCAATATTTGAAAACTGATTGTATTTCTATGGATGAGTCTCAAAAAGCTGGAAGCTGAAATTTAAAATACCACTTACATGGGCATCAAAAATAAGCTACTTGGGAATAAATCTGACAAAAGAAATACCCTATTCAACGAAACCTATAAAACTGCTGAAACTAAGACCTAAATAGACAAGAGGTGTACCATGTTCATGGATCTGGAGACTTTATGTTAATTCTGTCCTTTCCAAGTTGATTCATAGACTCAACGTGATCAAAAGCTTAGCAAGCATTTTTTTAGACATTGATGATCTGATCCCAAAATTCATATGGAAATGGAAAGGACCAGAATAGCCAAAACAACTTTGAAAAAGCAAAAACAAGTTGGGGGACTCGCAATTCTTGATTTCAAAGATGTATTCCAAAGTTGGTGATCAAAACTGTGTGGTGTTGGCATCAGGCTAGACATGTCAATCAGGGGACTGAATAGGGTCCAGAAATAGACCCACACACATGTGATTGACTGACTTTTGATGAAAGTGCCCAGGCCACCCAATGGAGAGAGGATGATCTTGCCCACAAATGGCGCTGGAACAGTTGGACACCCACAGACATCTGGGTGCCAACATGAGCCTTTACTTCTGTCTCCCACTGTCTCCATGTGACTTTCTGAACAAAATGATTATTTATTTGGAAAAACTTCCTTTGCCCTTGTTCATGTGTGGAGGATTTTCATGCCTCGCACGCCTCCCCTCACCCAAGGCTGGCACATTGGTGGCACCTGGTGACTGCTGTGTGGTTCAGGCTGGCCTGCATTCCAGTCCAGTGCGGCCCCTGTCTAGGTGCTTAGGGCCAGTTTCCTAGCACCCAGGGCCCTCGGTGTTCTCGTCTGTAGGATGGACATAAGTCTGGCACCTCCAGCACAGGGTGTGAAGACCCAGCACTCGC